CCAGACGAAAAAAAACGGGCCCGCTCTTTCTTTCTGTTTTTCGTTTTTTCGCTGTTGCTTTCTTTTTTTCTTTTTTTCTTTCTTTCTTTCTGTCTTTTGGTCTTTCTGTCTTTCTGCCTTTTGTTCCTTTGTGTGCTGTGTTTTGCTTGTGTTTTGCTTATGCAGAGGAATATTTTTTTTTGGGATCTGTGAATAGTTTTTTTTTGATCCCGGAAATAGTTTTTTTGATCCCTTAAATAGTTTTTTTTTGACCCCTCTCCCGTATTGAAAGTGTGTCGCTAAAGCAGACGCCTGACTACCTTCTGTAATGTATAGTAAACCCCAAAAGGTGGAAACCGGATTATGTAAAGACAAATAGTGCTGGGATACATTACTCTGCAGGATTGAGGCTATTGGGTTTCCAACTTTTGGGCTTCTTCTATAGTTTTAACACACAAAAATCCCGCAACCAACGCAGCCGCAAGACAGATCCTTTATAACATCTGGTTTGCAACCTTTAAAGGAACCCTTGGCAAAAACTCGTGAAGAGAACCCAAAACACAAAACACGTACACATCTGCTGTTAGCAGTATCAGTCCGCCTGCTCCCTCCCCATGGCTTCCAGGATATCGAGTGCCCGCCGCCATCTTAGTCTAAAGCACAGAAACAGGGATTATATTCGTCGTAGCCACAAGCTGTGCAAGCCCGCATGCCAGCAAAGGAAATCCCAGCACGAATTATCATCAGATAGTCCAACTTTCTGGGGTTCACTATACGAGTGCTCTTCCAGGGATAGATGATGGAAGCTGGAGGGTTTGGGAATTAGGGCTGTGGGTTGACGGTTTGGATTGAGGCATTAAGACTTTGGTTCAAGGGTTTCCGATGACAGGTACCCCTGTCGTCCCTATATCGCATAAAACCTGTATGTCAAAAGTTGCGTCGGGTAACCCATGATCATGTATATCCACAACAGCACCCCGATCGTCCTATGGTTGGTCCTACATCTCCTCCGGGGCGAAACTCTTTGCAAACAACCTTGTCAACCCTATTTAGAACTCCTACACAACAACCCCTATGCTTCCTTGCAGGGAATGCTGCTTTCAAAGAAGAGCACTATAAACCCCCTTCACCCTAAACCCCTCAAACCTTCAACCTAAACCCACTCCTAACCCCTGAACCCCCAAACACCAAACCCTGAACCCTTGGAGCCTTCACCCTAAACACCAAAACCCTCAAACCCGAACCCTCACCCTAAACGTCTACCAAAAATGAGCCCTTAACCCGAAGCCCCTAAAGCTCTAAACTCCTAAAGCCTTCGCCCCCCTAAACCCAAAACCCTAAACTCCTAAACCCATGGATTCCTCAGGCCGCCGCTCAGCGCCCCGCGCGCAGGCGCTGATTGCCGTGCAGAAGCTGATCCTCGAAGATCCCGGGGTTCCCAAAGGGCTCCCAAGCCCCGCTCATGAAAGAAAGGACACCAGTGTATATGCATATACATCTACATATATATATACACACACACATACATGTGTATATATGTATGTATATATATATATATACATACAGGTTTGTATTTATCTATGATTATAGCTATGTTTGTGTAGATGTAGGTACAGACATAGACAGAAAATGTGGACGTGTGTGTAGGTACATATGTACGCATGTATGCGTCTGTGTCTGTGGTTATGTATGAATGTATGTATGTACCTATCTATCGATCTATGTCTGTATATATGTATGTATGTCTGTACATACAGAGAGAGAGAGAGCGCGAGATCGACTTTCATGTGTATGGTAGACAAGACTGCACAGAAAAGTACAGTAGAGTACAGTACAGTCCAATGCAATACAACACAATGCAATATAATATGCAGTAGTAATGTATGATACAGTATATCACAATAACTTATAATGTCATAAGACATCTTATTCAATCATATGCTATCAACCTAGATCACAACACTGGCATCTTACAGTTTGATACAGCATAACACAAAATAAAACACTACAAACATAATATCATAACACATGGAACATAATACAGTCCATATGCTTCAAAAACTGAACTTGAGACACGTATATGAAATATACTTGCTTACATATATACACAGGTGTGTACGTTGATTTTACGCACGGCTCCATAAGGCTTTGAATGGAAATGGAAGTCGTCGTTTAAGAGTGTCAACGCGCCTTCACTGAGGAGTCTAGATTCCACCATTGAGGATCCTTTGTATAAATCCCAAAACCCCTAATCCTAAACCCCAAAACCCTAAATGGTCCTATATCCTAAACCCCTAATACTAAACCCCAAAACCCTGAATTGCCCTACCTCCCCAAGCCCTTCTTGATCTTGGGATTCACTTGAGAACTTAGGTTCCCAACTTCGAGGGTAGATATCTGGGATTCGTTCTCTTTCGAGGGCCACACGATATTCCTGCTGCTACTCCTCATCCTCCTGCTGCCGCTGCTGCTGCTGACTACTGCTAGTACTAGTACTA